AAATAGATAAGAAATAGTAGGAGAGGGATAATTTTTAATAAATTCATATTTACGCCTGGTTAGCAGTAAACCAAACCTACTTTGGTGTAATTTAAAAATCTTATTATTTTTCCGATAAAAAAACAGTCTATCAGGGGCAGCCAAAATTGGCCAAAATCGTGACTTTCAAATGCAATTTTGAGGCCCTTAATGAATGAAAGTAATAATTTTAATTAATGCTTTGTGTAGACTAAAGTACAATCTTTATACCAAACCAAAAAACTTACAAATTTATCATCGTCTTCATAGTTAAAATCAGCTTCAAAGTTGGCGATTTTTCAAACTTCAAATTGGTACCAAGGGCAGAAGAATTTTTTTTTCCAAAAACTGATTTCATATTCGGAATCAGCGCCTCGAAAACTATCAGAATCGGTCAAAACATTTTGAAAATCGCGAAAAAAAGTTTTCATTTCATTAGTAAAATTTTGATTTTGCAACCAAAGATTTCGATTTTTCGGGGTTGTATGTGGATTTATCCAAAAACGGATTATATTTTCGAAATCAGCGTCCCAAAATCAATCGAAACCAATCAAAACATTTTGAAAATCGCGAAGAAAGCCGATTTTTTTAAAGAAAAATCGATTTTGCAACCAAAGATTTCGATTTTTCGGGGGGTGTATGTGGGTTTATCCAAAAATAGATAGCATTTTTCAAATCAGCGTTCGAAAATCTTTTGGAATCAGTCAAAACATTTCCAAAATAGCGAAAACAAATCTATTTTTTTGCTAAAATTCCGATGTAGCAACCAAAGTTTTTGTTGTTTTCCAGTGGAACACGCCCTGAAAGCTCATCAAACAGGATGATTTCGTCCTTGGTGTAATAAAAAATCATCCAAAAACTTTGTCCAATAAGTTCTTGATCATAAATTTCCTTTAGTATAGGGGAGACCCAGATTTTATGGTTCCTGTTCCTATAAGTGCATAAGTACCTGTGAAAAGAATAAATATTCATTCTAAGGATATACATTTAAAATAAGATTATTTTTTACTTAATACCAGACTAGTAACAATAAATAAGCTTTGAATATTTTATTTGAAAGTAAAACCACAAAAACTCGGTGAAAAAATAAAAACATTTGAATAATTTGTAGGTACATCATTTATGTTAATCGAATAACTTGATATCATTTCCAAAGTTAAAAAAAAAGCTCTTAAAACATTCCATGGATAGTATCCATGGATTCAACTTCAAATAAATCATTTATTACAATCGAACAATTTGATATCATCACTGTAGTTTTAACAAAATCATGAATAGCAGTCTTTGCTTTTAATATTATTTAGAATTTAAATTTTATCTATTTTTTACTTATATAAATAAATTAAAATGCCTAGAACAAAATTTTCAAGTGGTTTGATAAAATGTACACAGACACAAATTCGCGTTCCAGTTAAAAATGATACAAAATTTTAGTATCCAGCTATATGTACGAGTTTGTACTAAATTCTAGTAAATTTGATATAGTTTTTACTAATGTAAACAAATTAACGTGCCCGAAAAGAAAATTAAAAGTTATTTGAAAAAAAGTACAAAAAAAGTTTAAATTTGCATTTCACCTGAAAATTGTTCAAAATTTTGATATGCAAGCATATAAAACAATTTATACTATTTGTTAGTAAATTTCATCTAGTTTATACTAGTATAAACAAATAAACATGTTCTGAACATAGTTTTAAAGTTATTTGACAAAATGTAAAAAACGTCCAAAATCCACCTATATTCTTGACAAGAGCCTGAAATAATATCTATTATTATTGATTACGACTTGCTTATGAATAAATAAATAAATAAATAAATAAATAAATAGCCAATTATCAAACTCAAATCTGCGCTTCAGCTACAAATTATTCAAAATTTTAATATAAAAGTGAATATAACAATATACAGCAAATTCTAGCAAATTTTGTCTAGTTTATACTAAAATAAACATATAAAAGTGTCCAGAACAAAATGTAAAAAAAAAGACCAAACTCGCATATTGATTGCAATTGAGTAAAATTTGTTTGATAAAATCCATGGATAGTCCATGAATTCAATATGGTTAATGATTCATAAACCTTATACAGCATAAGTACACTGTTAGCTCGCTAAAATCATTCATTTTCACCGTAAAAGCTCACGAGTCGTGATAATTCCCTCCTTTCCATTAAAAAGACTTTGTCCAATGAGTTCTTGATCATAGGTTAGAAGGTTCTTTGTAAGACATTATGAAAAGAAAGTGGTTTTTGTAAAATATTGATAATACTCATTTTTAAAGCAAGCCAAATGCTAGAATCTATCAAACTCTTAATATTAAATTTTAAATGAAATACGAATAATTAATTAATTTAATTAGAAATGTCACTTAAGATTTTAAACAAAAACATTGCCTACAAAGAGCATATATTGTTAAATAACAACTGCACTCATAATAACTATTCTTAATCAAGATTAATAATAATAATAAATAAATTAATTTATGAGTGATTAAAAGTATTCCGAGTGGATTCATTACTCGGAGTATTTTCTAAAAGCAAATTTCCAAAAATCAACAATTTACTTAGGACTTTAATGGTTTAGTATACTCATTAAGACCAAGTGTACTCTATAGTTATACCAAGTAAATCTTCTAATTTTGACCAACGTCAAAAAAACTACTCATTTTCTCAAACTTTGATGATTTTTAAAAATTAAACTTTTTGTCATAAGGCCGTAAGTTTTCAGTGTGTTCTATAAGACCATGATATATATCGCCAAAAAAGTTCCATGAAAATCAGCTTAAATTTTTTTTTCAACAGGTAATTACAAGAAAACGGCTCGGTAGATTTTCGCCTTAAACTAATCAGTATAATTCCCAACTAATATCTTTCGAACAGTTTTTGATTTTTAAAAATCGATTCGGTAGTATTAGCTTAAATGCGGACGAAAAGTTTAACACTTTTTCCAAATTACAAAGAAACGTCTCGGCTGGTCGTCGCACAAAACTGAGAAACGATAATCCTTATCGAGATACATCAAATGGCTTTTAAATTTTTGAAATCGGTTCAGTAGTTTCGGAGCGAACGTCGATGAAAGGTCTAATTTTGACAAATGCCAAAAAAACTATACTAATTTTTCAAACTTGGACGAATTTTTAAAGTTAAACGACTTGTCGTAGGGCCGTAATAGTTTAGTATGATCTATAACAGGGGTCGGCAAGCTTTTAACTGTAGTGTGCCAAGCCACACTACCAATATCATTTAGAGTGCCGCCTTAATTTAGAAATATATAGTTAGATTCTAGGGGAGAAGAATTATAACCAATTTATTAACAAATAACATAAATTTCTAATATAAACTAAACAACTTTAATGCGAACCTTGTGTCTGCACATTTTTCCTTAACACTTCAATATCCGGGGTATAATTTGTAACTTTTAATTTCACACAAGATTCTGAATGTTTAGTCCTTAAACGATTTCTTTGTGAACTCAAAATATGTTTCATGCGAGAAAAAATTTGTTAGATATGTGGAACCAAAAGCTGAAAGGAGAGCGCAATTTTCTTTAAACAGTTAATTCTTTTCCGGCAATGTCATTCAACAATTTAATATGGCTGTCGATTTGTCCATAGAGTGATCTTCCAGATTTTTTTGTAATTCCTTCAATTTTGTTTTCCATAATTTTGAAAATATTAGTTCGATCATTTCCATTTCAAAACTATCAACATTAATCCATTCGAAAATCAACAAATCAAACGGTATTATTGATGGATCTATCAAATCTGGCTTTATGAGGAAGGAAAATATAGGCACATAAGCTTCAAAGTCTTTGCATCTTCTGGAAAATTCATCTTTAAGTACTTTAACGTAGGTTGAATTACATTAGCGAGCTACGTTAGAAAAATAATTATTATTAAACATTTTCTCTTATTTGAAAATCACTCAAATCATATTTGCGATTTTCCTGATTAATTTATAGAGTGCCATTGAGAACCCCAAGCTTGGCACGCGTGCCGTAGGTTGCCGATGCCTGATCTATAAGACTATTTACCGTCAAAAAAAATTCATGAAAATCGTCAAAAAAAATTTTTTAATACTTTTTTACAAGAAAACGGCCCGGCCGATCTTTACCAAAAACTAATCACCACGATTCCCAACCAATATCTATCGAATGATTTTCAAAATCGATTCAGAATTGCTGGCTAAAACGTGGACGAAAAATTTTTCACTTTTCTACGGTTTACAAAGAAACGTAGCGCAAAACTAAGAAACGATGGCTCTTAAATTTTTGAAATCGGTCCAGTCATCGTTTTTGAGAAAACGTCGATTTTCGGCAAAAAACCTGTTCACACATACTTTTTCCCCTTACGGCAAAAAACCTATTCACACATTTGGTTTCATTCGGTTCAGAATGGCTTGAAACGTCGAGAAAACATAAAATTAGCAAATCGGATTTTTTTATGAAAACATAAACTTCTTTTTCGGGAAGTTAAAAATGCCATTTGGAGGTCAAAACTGACCATTAAACATATGCACATCAAATTATCAGATATTTTAATTATGTGTATCAATTTTATTTATATGTCTATGGGTTCCGTAAAATCGTTTGTCCGTTAGGTGGTCCGTTGAAAAGTTGAAAATTTTCAAAATATTTCAAAATAAAAAAAAAACATTTTCGTTTTCCAAAAGTTTTTTTTCCAAAAATTTAAACTTTCTCAAAAATATTTTTTTTTCAAAGTTTAAAGAAAAATTTAATTTAAAAAAAAAAATGGTACGGGAAGTTCTAGCAATTTGCATTAACCCACGATGCCATGCACCACTAGTTTTATATATGATCATTAATAATAACAAACAATATGAAGTTCTAGTAAATTTAAAGCTTCTAAGGTTGGCAATGATGTTTTCGTGTTTCAGTTTAGCTAGCCAGATGTCATGATAACTTTATGTCAATGTTTTATTAAGTGTCAAAAATCATATTGTTTTTTGTTAATATTAATAGACATTATTTTATTAACTTTTATGACAATGTTAGTTGATATTAGATGTCAAATTTGATTTTCAATTAGTAGCGTTACTTCGTTTTGCCTCATCGCTATGCTTTATATCATATCTTATGCTGGAACACAACGTAAATATTTCTCAATAAATTAATGTTCATTTAGGAAGGTATTATTATATTATATTCGAATAAAATTCTGCTTTAGAATATTAATAGTTATTTAATCCTGATCAATTGATTTAATGTAAAATTGTTTAATTCTAAAAGTTAACATGGATCCAGAAAAGTTTTGTTCGGCGTTATTAAATATGCCTCAAGACCTTACACAAAGGTTAGGTGGTTCTGATGAACTAGTGAAATCTTCCATCTCAATATTTGCCAAATTACCTATGTCACGACAAGCAGTCATAGAATATTATAGTCAATATATCTTTGAAAAAGCGATAGCAGATTATATGTCAAATGTTACAAAGAGTCCTAATAGAATGGAAGAAGATTATAATGTATTGACTGAAATACAACAGGGTCTAACAAATCTGGTTTTTGAACATCCTTCTGAATTTGCTACTCCCATATCTAGCTGGAGCATTCAATTGCTGGGTAAATTATCTCAGAAATATGATAAGATTGTAGAAAACCCTAATAACAATAAGGTATGGATGGAATGTGATGCAGTTCGAGCATTATTAAGCCTTGCTGCTATTGGGTTTTGGAAAACAAATAATATTGAAGAAAGCTTCTTAGAGAAAGATGAATGTGTTAGTATGCTGCTGGAAACATATATTAAATATTCTCCTGCAGCAGATTGGATTGTTGGAAGACTCGCCAGTTCATACACATTGCCATTAACAACCAGAGTACTATATAATGGTTTATGCATCTTTCAAAAAAGTTCGCAAAATGGAAATCATATCAAATCTGTTATTCTTATACTTGAACAATTAGCAGAAGGACATATGGCAAATCTCGACTGTGCTAGTAAAAAATTGGTACATTGGTCTTTTGCAAAAAATAACAGAAATAATCTTAGACGATTTGTTATTCCATATATGTTACATTTAGCATCATCAGATAAACTTTTACCATTAGTCTATTCAACTATCTTAGAACTGTTCACTTCACCTGATGCTCATGCTATTATATTATCGAATCAAAGACATCATTTGTGGATAAATATTGGTTTAAAATATACTGTTTTAGTAGAAAGAACTGCTGAACTAGCATTGATGGTTAAAGACAATTCACTAAAAATTTGTTTGGGTTTGCTGGATAAATCGGACAAATGTGCATTTGGTTTGCATGTTTTGATGCAGGTATTAAATCACATTGGCAAGAAATATAGAAAATCTTCAGAACACTATCCACTAGTTATTTCTTTATCGGATTATGGTGATTATAAAGATTTATGCAATTTGTTGATTTCGCCAAATATGAATCAATTAAAAGTCACTTTTATTCTGCATATTTTGAATTACATTGGTCATTGCAAACCTATTAAATTCCCAAAAATCATACATTATTTGCTATATCATATAACATCGGTATCTAAATTGCCTCTTCTGTTAAATTTAGTACAATCTCATTATTTCACAGGAGTGCCAAATACTCCATTTTCTAATTTGTTTGATGTGTTACAAATGACATTTACAGCTCCAAAACAATCAGAATTTATTTACACTTTTTTTTGGGAAAACTTATGTAACTTAATACAGCAGGAAAAACAGGGCAGAACAATATTCCTTGAGCAAGGTAATTTTACCAAAGCAGCTTTCAAACATATTTCAAATATAATCAAATTTTTTGAGGAAATACTGGATAAAAAACTTCAAAATATTACAAAAAAAATAGTAAAAGAAGAGAAAGAGTTAACTTTTAAAAAGACTTATTATAACACTGAAATTGGTAATAAATCGTCAATATTTAACATGAAAACTGTATGTGAAAACCAAAATCACTATTCTTCTATTTGTGATAATATTGCAAGAATATTAGAAATGCTCGATATAAACTTAATTACTGTTGCAAATCATGTGAATAGGATAATAGTGAACAATGAAACATATCAAAAATTAATTAACGTCATTGTCAAATACTTCTTTTATAGCCTACTTCTTCGAAAACCTTCTAGAAGAAGATCAAGTATTATTGCGATTAGGCTGCTCAGCAAATGTTGTAGCTCAAATAGAATTGGTAGAATATTAGGAACCCAACTACTTGTTGACGGCGCTGTTTTTAAATATTCTCTTTTATTTGGTGCAACTACTCCAGCCTACAAACATGGAACACAAAGTATTTCCTTATTTGATTTGAACATTAAACAAGGTTTTACGTCGCAGATGTCACAGAGGCCTTTAGCAGTTTTTCGTAATGAAATGGATTTAAATAGAAAAAGTCCTTCTGTAATTACAGAAACTTGTTTTCAACGCCAGAGATTATTATTCGAAGCTTTGAGCGCTGCTATGTCAGAAAATGTTCTATCTGGTCCCTCTACTGATGCTCTTACTTCTTTATCACTTTGGCTCGTAGAATCAGTTTCAACGGATGTTATGTATAATGGCTTGCCTTGGCCTGAAGATGAATTTACAAAAATAACGATGGAACGAGACTTGCATATAAGAAGAATGTTTCATTCTACACCCGTACTATGGAGTTTACTACGTTTTGTTGCCTATCACCGACCAGCCCTTTGCTACTGTTCTGTTCTTCTCAGAGGATTGACATCCGTATTAATATACCAATGGTTATCATGGTCATATAAAAATACACCCGATACAATATTTCAAGAACTGCATGCTACCACAAGAAATGTCTTACAAACTTTGTCATTAGCACAACTTCTGCCACCTCCACTGGACACATTATCGGAAGTGATACCAAAATTGAAAGCTTTCGAAATTTCATTTGTTCTCAAAGAATGTGTCTGGTTTTATATGAAGGAGAATGTACCAGCACCAGTTTTGTTTCAAGAAACGCAACTGGGCCATTATTGGCGTGATCCCCTTATGTCATATGTCCCTTTAAGGTTTATAGAGCCTTTAAGAATGGTGATGCAGAAACATCTGCCACATCTGGCTTCCAATTATAATCAGATATTTATTCAGGACTGCAATCGTATGAATGGCATATCAAAATGAAATGTTATTTTCATTCAAAGGCATATATAATAATTGTGTACAAATTACATATTAATATCAATATAAATATTTATAATTAAATTTGTTTTGTTATTTATTTATGCAACATATTTTGAAATCATTGGTCCAAAGTCACAAAGAATTAAGATATCATTTATTTCATAGTTGTAAGCTCACTATATAGAAAAATTGATATACTGTTATTGACAAAATTACATTTGTATAAATATGACTTATTAATGGTATATAAAAATGATAACTGATAAATGATAAAATATATGTTCTATTATAAATTATGTTTTGAAAGGACTTCTTTAAAAGCACCGTAAACAAATTAATGTATTTAATATATTCGAACTAACAGTATTGTATGTAAAAACTCGTTAATGCTAGTTTTTGATGAGCACGGAATCCTTCAATTATTAAAAGCTTTCGAAATTTTACCAGTTTTCTTAAATAGTGACAATCTATAAAAGTTATACAATTTTCATTAATTGCTTTGAAATACTTTTATTATTAACTTCCCGTAGGGTAGTTATAGTAATGGGCCGAAAATCGAAAATAATTTTTTTTTGCATTTCTCGACGTTTTGGAAGTTTCTGAACATTTAGACATACCGTGCTGATTAGTTTTTGGCAAAGGCATAGCTATTTCGAAGATACGGGGAAAAAAGGTAATAATTATGTAATTCATCAGTTTTTAAGAGAACGGAGCGTCCGATTTGAATAATTCAAAAGAACATTTTATTTGTATTGACTGAACGAAAAACTATTTAAATTTTTGGAGAGGCAGGTCCATCGGTTATGAACTCTCAATAAAAAAAATTAAGAAAATTCCATTTGGCGGTCAAAAATGTTCATTAGATATATACACATCAAATTATCAGATATTTTATAGAGATTTTAATAATGTGTACACATTTTGTGTAATTTTTTTGGGTTCCGTTCATTTATATGGTTCAAAAAATGTCCTCGACATTTTCGACAGTATGGTATAACCGATTTGTATGATTGAAAAAACATTCGGTTTGTACTCGATCGCGAGGCGTTTTTGCAAAAGGCACGTTTCGAAAGTATAGCCATTTCGGAGGAATGGAGCGCAAAGGGTATAAAAATGGTCATGCAGTTTTTGAGAGAACGGATCATCCGATTAGTTCAATTCAAAAAACGTATCGCTTGTTTAGAACGTGTGCAAAAAATTCTTTTACAAAAAATTTCGTAATTTTAAGAAATTTCAAAAAAAATTAAAGTTTCAAAAAATTCAAATTTTTCATAATTTTCAAAAAAATCTAAATTTCGAAAAAGTTAAAAAAATACCAGAATTAAAAAAAAATCGATTTCTTGCAAAAAATTGAGAATATTTCTAGATTTTCAGAAAAATTCGAATATTTTCAAAAATTTCCAAATTCTCAAAAAATTAACAAAAACTCGTTTTTTCCAAAAATCCCAAAAATTCAAAATTATCAAATTAAAAAAAAATGAACAAATTTCTTGAAAACATACACATAAGTTGTTTAGTAGAAAACGTCGACGCCCAATTGAATAAGCACTTATAAATTTACAGTATGTATTTATAATAAATAATCTATTTAAAACAATTATTGATTATTTTCATTCCTTGAATGTTCAATTATGGTACAGGAAGTTCCAACAATTTGCCTTAAGGCACGATGCCACGCACCACTAGTTTAAATAAATTTGTATTTGTGCAGAATCTTAAGTACAGATAGTACAATTCTTTATGTTCTTGAGATACGCCACTTGTTCCAGGACAAGTTCGTTTCACGAATACTATAGGATTATAAACAAAAATTTGTTGTTAAATTTCACTATTGTAACTAATACATAATAGATAGAAATAATTTATGAATGAGTTTTACTCTGTGTAGTGAAACATTTTATAACATTGACCTTACTCATATTGCAAACACTTGATTGAGCAATATATAGACTCACAATGCTGTAGTAACTCATTTACATATTCAAAACGCGTGGCATTAACATAATTATTATACTATCAAAACGAAGAAGAGTTTTATGATATGAATATGATTATCATGGATTTATTAGAAATCACAATAATAACGTAAACACTAATGACACAGGTCCACAAAAAAAGTTGTCTGTATTGGGTGTGTAGCCTATGTTTTCTAATGAAGTTTTACAGCTGAACACAAAATCAAAATTGGGGGCCAATTTTTTTTTTAATTACAAAATCTCCGATCTAGTAACGCTTCTCCATTATAACTGAAATATTATAAGTTCTGTCGTTTTCTGACCCTTTTTATCTTAAATGATTATTGAGTTTCAATTAAATAATAATAATGTAATTTGTTTTCTTTTAATTCAGCAGTAATTTCCAAACATATATTAACTTCTCATTGCCTTTGGGTAATCTGCAAACATAATTGCACTTGAATATCTGAAAATATGTTTGCAAGTCACTCTGCTGTAATCTTATAACTTATTTTGGCTCAAGGAGTTATCTTATCCTTAGATAATTAAATAATAATATTTTTTTCGTATATTTTTCAGAAATAAATGCTTCCTCTTTAAATGGGTATTTCCGCTTTAAATATTCCACCCAGCGATATAATAGGTGCTGGTTTAATATAAAAACATTTTTTTCATGTTACTGCCTAAATTTGTTAGTTTGAATTTTTTAAGAAGCCTATTTTGTAGAAGAAATATTTAACCAGGATTCAGGTTTTTGACCCATTATCACAAGGTCTTGAAAAGATTCTTATCGAATATTTCAGTATTTGATTAATTCAAAAATATTTGATTGCTATTGATGAGGGGCTGGCTATATTGGTAAAGGCAGGCCCAGAAGATTCAAGGATATGGGACAAAAAATGGTAATTCAGTTTTTGAGTCCGATTTGACTGATTCAAAAAACATTTTGCTTGTATTGACAAATGAAGAATTGATATGATTTTTGAGAATGCAGGTCTACCGGTTTGGGAAATCCAAAAAAGTTAGTAATGATCATTAGGTATATGCATATCGAATTATCAGATATTTTATAGAGATTTGTAAAATAAGCACAATATATGCATGGCTTGTTATATATTCGTACCAAGATTTATAATATTTAAAGTTCTCTTATATAGTTCAAACAAATGTCCTCGACACTTTCGACAGTACCAATCAATAGATTTGAATGGATTTCAACATATTCAAAAAAATAAATAAAAATTTTCAAAAAATCTATTGTTTAACAAAATTTTTGAAACAATACAAAGCTTCTACAGTATGGATATTTTCAGCAAGCTTTTATAAAGCACGATGCCATGCACCACTAGTAACTTCCCGAAGGAGAAGTTTATGTTTTCATCAAAAAATCCGATTCGCTAATTTTATGTTTTCTCGACGTTTCAAGCCATTCTAAATCGAATGAGACCAAATTTGAAAAAGTGTATATGTGTGTGTGTGCGTGTATGTGAACAGATTTTTTGCCGTAAATTGACGTTTTCTCAAAAACGGTTCGACCGATTTCAAAAATTTAAAAGCAATTCGATGTATCTCGATGAGGACTAGCGTTTCTGAGTTTTGTGCGTCGATCGTCAAAGCCGTTTCTTTATAAATAACAGAAAAGTGAAAAAAATTTCGTACACGTTTTAGCCCGCAATTCTGAATCGATTCTGAAAATTCAAAAACCGTTCGAAAGAACCGTTTGGTTGAGAATCGGGCTGATTAGTTTTTGGTACAGATCGGCCGGCCGTTTTCTTGTAATAGAGTTTTTTTTTAAAAAAAATCGACGATTTTTATGATTTTTTTTCTGGCGGTAGATATCATAGTCTTCTAGATCATACCAAAATATTACCGCCCTACGACAACTCGTTTAACTTTGAAAATTCATCAAAGTTTACAAAAATTGGTATCGTTTTTTTGGCATTTGTCAAAATTAGACCTTTCATCGACGTTTGCTCAAAAACGCCTGAACCGATTTCAGAAATTTAAAAGCCATTCGATGTATTTCAACGAGCACTATAGTTTGTCAGTTTTGTGAGACGATCTGCCGAGCCGTTTCTTTGTAATTAAGAAAAAAGTGTTAAACTTTTGGTCCACATTTAAGCTCAAACTACCGAATCGATTTTGAAAAATCAAGAACTGTTCGAAAGATATTAGCTGGGAATGATACTGATTAGTTTTAGATGAAAATCTACCGAGCCAGTTTCTTGTAATTAACTGTTGAAAAAAAAATTTGAGTCGATTTTTATGAAACTTTTTTTGGCGGATATATATCATGGTCTTATAGAACTTACTGAAATATTACGGCCTTACGCAAGTAGTTTAATTTTAAAAATTCATCAAAGTTTGAGAAAATGAGTAGTTTTTTTGAGTTGTTTGTTAAAATTAAAATAGATGATTTACTGGGTTATAACGATAGATTACTTGGTTTAAACCCTAAAGTCCTATGAAAATTGGTTCAATTATAAAAATTATTGATTGTGAAAATTTGCTTTTAGAAAACACTCCGAGTTAACGTGTTCGTTCGTTTTCAATTATGTGTATTAAATCAACTCGGAATACTTCTAATCACTCATAAATTAATTTACTTTTTATTGATTAAGTCGATTATTCACACATATCGCGAAGTTCATGTAACTTGCCCTCAAGGCTAAATACCAATAACAATAGTTTTAAATATTTTTAACTTAGAAATGAATTCCAAAAGCGATTTGAAACAGTTACTGATGTTAATAATCTTTTAATATTTCTTCAATCAATAGCTCTTACAATAGACAAAACTTGAATTGAAATAGACACATAATTGATAAAGCGATATTTGGTATTAAAGTTACTTATGAAAAAAATATAAAAAATCACTCAGTAATTCTGCTATAAAAACTTAAATTCATTTAAAAAATGCTGGAATATGGTCACCTTACATTTACACAATATTTATACGTAA